CGATGATAGAGAGCACCAGAACCATCAGTACTCCTTGAATATGAACTTATTTTCAATCAAAGAGTATCAGCACCATCAATACTCTTTAAGTATGAACTTATTTTCAACGAGAGCGGGTCTTGAGACCATCATTTATCATAGAACAAGAACTTATATTCGATGGGAGTTGGTATCAAGATCATCATTTATACTTAAAAAGGAAGCCGGAGCTGATTCTCAATGAAAGAATGTTTCAGGAGCATCAGCATTCTTTAAACAACAACCATCACTTTGCCACCAACATTAATCTATGAATACGAATTTATTTTCAAGACTATCAGAACTCTTTTAGCAAGAATTTATTTTCCATCAGAAAGTTTCTCAAGGCACTCATTACTTATTGAACGAGAGTTTATTATCTTTTCAGAAAGCATCTTCAGACTATCAATATTCCCTAAGCAAGAACTTATTTTTGTTGCGAGTGGTTCTTGATATTATCAGAAATCCTCAAACACTAATTCATTTTCATTGGGATTGAGTTTGAGACCAGCAGTAGTCTCTGAACCACCACCAAGTTACTACGGGCCTCGTTGCTATGGCGTCAATTCGAGCCGAACCTCTCTTGTTTTACACAGTCCCCCAAAGCACTGAACGTCTAAGGCTGAGGCTGTGCACAAGAAAGATCCTCGAAGATGATCGTTACGAAGATCTACGAGATTTTTGCCCGCGTCTTTACATCCTTTACGACTGATAAATCCCGCTTTGGTTGCTTTCGGAGAGTTGGCTCGGCTTTGCTTCCGTAGGCAAAGACTGAAAACTCGGACGGTGTCCAAAAAAAGTCTTTAGACAGGGTGTGTACGAATAAAGTAAGGATTGTTGTATGAAATGTAACATTGGCCCTCAATTGACGCTGCTGTCTGGTGGCAGTTCGTGAGGACAGTGCATTCAAGAGGTGACAAGTGGAGGAGAGCATATTCTGTAAAATTACAGCAAATCTTCTCGTACTGTGAGCCTCAGTTTTACTTTCAATTTTCCTACTTCGTGTCCAACCTAAATCTCAAAGCATATTTTTTTAGAAATATTTGCTTGTCTGAAACGGACCGAGTCAAGGATTTCTGGTTTTATCAATGACTACTCATATCGACTGTAAGTAGTGTTATTTTTTATCACTATTCCCACTATAGAATCTGAATAAGAAGAGACAGAGATTTCTTTGAAAATCACATCTGTCATGGTATCTTAAGGCCAAATTCTATTCTCATTCTTTAAAACTATCGTCCTGAAAAGGGAGGACAGTAACGACGTCAATTCGATGCCTGTCCGGGCGATGAGGTAGCTCATAGTTTGGCAAAAAACCGGAGTTCCGAGTGGTATCTACAAATTTTAATTAAATCCACGCTTAGTCGGCTCCATTCCCCTCAAGACTGCCCTTCTTGACAGAAGCCTGATGTACCATCTTACCCAAGTACCATTTCCACGTCCAATAGATCGAGGTTGGGATGGACCAACACGACCGACATGGGATACCAACAGTGGAAGTTGGACTTCCACCGCTTATGATCATCTTCTTTGTGCGGCAGTGCTGCTGCTGACAAGTCTGGAGGAAGTTTCCTTCATTTTACGGAGGCTCAAATGATAAGCCGAACAACTGGCGGCATCTGCGGTTGAGTTCGGCCAAATTGCTCAACCATAGACCATCACAAGGTCGAGTTGTTCTCGTCTTTTGGCGGGTTGACAAGCCGATCCGTCGCTTTGGTTGCTGACTGCCTTGACGGGTGCCAATCAGCCTTCTCAACGCGAGGGTGGATGAGGCAAACATACCATTTTCACATGTTTTCACCCGATTTCGTTTAGGGTGAGAAGGAAACTATTTGTTCAATTTTGTCATTAGCTTTCGCATATTCTACCTCAGGCAGGAGTGGACGGCACTTTCGACCTCGCCTAAACTCAACGCATCAGCACCCCCAACGGGACTCGAACTCGGGTCTTGGTAATGCAGATTATTGTTGCTACACGTTAGCCACGAGTGTCCCTGTAGTACAGGTCAGATGTGAATTTCATGGAAGGTGAGTCATCTTCCCATACCACATTGAATGGGGTGCGAGTGTGGGTGGGGTGAATAGACCTAATATGTATGCTCCACGGGTGGGCTTGAAAACCTACTTAGAAACGAAAAAAATATATATTTATCTTTTTAATTCCATTCAAGCATTAATGTTAATTGCAAAGACTACTGATACCGAATATGAGTAACCACTTCGAGCACAGCAGCACACGCATCTCTGCCTCATCGAAAGGTCCATCTTGAAATGGTGCCTTCGAAGTGGCCCAGCTTCGAATCCCGTATTTTGTTGTGGCAACTTTGGCAATCTCGCCTTGAAACACTTTGAGTGAGCCAGACTGAGCAAGGCGGCATTTAAGAACTGCCGAGACTGTGGAATCTCATTCATGTCGAATATGTCTGGCTTCAAGTTGAGTCTTAGAGAAGAAGAATTGGCGCGCCAAAATACCTCCTCAACCATTTGCTTCTCCGAGAAGGTCATACTGTGGGGTACGTGAGAGCGGAAGTCAGGCTGTGCCTGTTGCCAGGGCATAGACAGAATGATGTGTGTTGTGTTGTTGAAAGATGGAGGAAAGAGCGGACGAGGTGTGAATGACTTTAGGAGAGAAGCGATCTATTTCACCGACTAGTCCGAGTCCCAGTTCACGTGATTCTACTTTTCTGACTCTGCGTGGCCATAAAACTCTGCTGAAAGTGAGGCGTCCAAATGGTCATTCTGACCGTTGGCTCTCGATACAACCTTTTCTGAGGTGCATTTCTCCCCGTCTGTGGTGCGGAAGTTGCGGCGAGTCGATGTTGTTGATGCGCATGACTTGGGCTCGAGTCCCGTCCGATGCGCCAATGAGAGCCGGAGTAGCGCAAGCCTGCGGTCCGGTCGGTTCTGTGATTCTTTCGATGGACCGTTTAGACAACAGTTTCTGAAAACAAGCTGAATTTCAAAAATGTCCCAAACAACTGACTAGTGGCGGAGTCAATTGCAATTAATAACTAAACCTAAATAGAATAGAATAGAATAGAGGAAAATTGAGTAGAAAATTAAAAACAAAACAACAACAACAACAGAAAGCACTTTGACCATTTCGAGCGAGAATGCGCCTTAAATGAAGCCGATAGAGACCTTCTGCCCGCCTGAGTTCGAGTCCCGCTGGGGGTGCTGACGCGACAAATTGAGGCGAGTTCGAGACTGCATTCCACTCCAGCTGGGATGAGAATAGCTTGTGGGAAAATGAGGGTGTGAAATTGAATGTGGGATGGTGGGAAAATTCAACTTTTCGTGTCTCCTTATCAATTTAAACGAAATGGGGGGAATCCAACTGGTACAAATGATCTACGGGCATTCTCGAGAATCATTGTCTCGTTTACGAGTTACTTTCAGCTTAATTTTTATTCTCAATAAAAAGTGGTACCACATTGAGTTATAATTAAAAACGGAGTCTTTCAAACAAGACTTCTCCTATCCTCAGCAAGTTGTTGTATGGTTCAGCTCCGATGAACATACCACTTGACAAAGTTCAACCTCGTCATGGCGGCGAGTCTAAAAACTCCTCATGAACACACTTTAATCCTATTAATCTGTATTACGTCATTCTGGAAACATGTGTGTGCGTGTGTGTGTGTGTGTGCATCTGTATGAAGAAGAGGGCAGGCTGGTAACTTTGTGGGGTTTCAAGTGATTCGATCAGAATGCGCCATCTGACCTCGTTCAAGAGGCTTCAATGACCTGCCCAGTTGTTGGATGGGATGAAGGCGATGCAGCGAGTAGGAAATTTGAGACTGCATAGGCTCTCCACTTCACACTTGACGTGTTAACAACTGACGACGCAATTGACGACGTTCGGCACCGACGTTTCAGTGGCATCAACATTCAGCCGAACCAAGCACCCGATGCCTCATTAAGACCGCAGAATGCGTTTTTAAAGAAGCCTCTTGCGGTACAAGAGTTGAACTCGTCTCGAATTTGAGTTAAAGTGTGTGAAGAAGAGACTGCAAGCTCGATCCACTATATGTACACACACACACACACACTGACGCATACAGACGGACAGATACGCAAGCTTCTCGACTGACACACGACAGGATCTGACTTGCTCATTCTATGCCCCCGAAAGATGCATGGGTTTCGTCAAACAGTACAGCAAATAGGAATAAACGGGTGTGTGTTTTCAACTTATTCGCATGAATTGGATTGCACCAATCGTGTAAAGAATGAGCAGGATTCGAAATAACACTTCTCTGCTGATGTGGACCCGATGAAGCAAGAAACGGGCACAGAATGTTCAAGTAGAGCCAACCGAAGACTGACCGACCCTCGAATCTCTTCATCACACACACACACACACACATACAAACCATTTTCCTCGAAATGGAGGCCACTTTCTGGTTGTGAAGATGTCCGTCAGGACGAAACAGAGCACAGTTCGGCTCACTTTTGGTAGATAGGCCAAGGCAAAAAATGTTGCAGACTATTCCAGCGAAAAGGATTTTCTAGACGAAATGGAGTGAAAAAGAGGACACGGATTGTGCTAAAATGCCTACATTTTGGAACTAGAGATGATGGTCAAAAATAAGATTTTAAAAGGTATGAAAAATAAAGTGGCAGAGAGAGAGAGAGAGATAGAGATAGAACGAGATGGAAAGAGAGAAAGAGATTGTAAGAGGATAATAAAAGAGACCATCAAATTGGAAACCGGGTGGGGTGAATTTTGTTATGTAATGATCAGTTTCACAACATTTGCTCGTGTCGCTCTGTCACAACGACCTCGAAGCATGTGCACCACTTGCACTGCCTCTTCCGTCAGTGTCGTCATGTCTAAAGTTCCAGAAGTTTCAAGTTTCCTCCTTTGCTGGGCACTTTTCTACCGAAAGGCATCAAGACTACTCACTAAAATACAAGTAGTCACGAGATCGAATCGGCTTAAGACTACTTTGGAGAGGCTAAAAGATAAAAGAGTGATGCTGAATCGCCGGCGATTCACAAAAGCTTTCCACTTCTGTACATCTCGACAACTCAGTCTGCTGCAATTTCTCGATTGCCAACTAAATCATTCTGAAAGTGGACGGCGAACATTCTCCATCACCTCTGCATCACCTCAAGCAACCCAGAACGGCTAAACCATTCAGTTCAAGTCTGCTGATTTCTAAAGCTGCATTCCCGTCCCATTACTTTCGCGTCTTCACGTCGCCCAATAGTTGAGTGTGTCGAGAGAGAGCAAACATTCTTTACAACTGACTCCAATCTTTCCAAGCTGGGAATGGGAAAACCATCCGCAAGGGTATCGGTCTTTGGGCCAACTGAAATATTTTAGTCCATCTCTCCATCCGTGTGCATATGCGTCGCCTTTCACCTCTCACAATTATTATGTATATATAAATAAAAATGTAAATAAATAAATAAATATATATATATATATATATGCATACATACATACATACATGCATTGCAATCCGTACAACCACTTCTGCGCATATCCATCGTTGTCACGTTTCCTCCCAGTCCGGCAGGTTTCCAAGACGTCCACCGGAGTTGTCCGATAAGCAAATAATTCTCCTGCCTCCAATCGACCGTAAGCTTCTTGTAAGCAGGTAACTGGGTCTTTTATTCATCCGTCCGTCCGTCCGTCCATCCATCCATCACACCTTGTATATATGGATATGCTTATTCTATTTTTTCACTCAGTTATTTCGTTATTTCTATACATCCAGGGGTCTAGACGTTCCCAATCATACTTTGCTCCATGTGTGACTAGCATATACCTCATCAGTTGCCCAATAGGCGGGGACATTCTAGGGTTTGTGAATGTATAATCCACCAGAAGGTGGGTTCTACCACGTGGGCGGATGTCGTCATTACTAAACAGTCTATACTAGACTCACTTGTGGCCAGTTATTTATCGTTGAGCAGAAATGCTTAAACAGTAAATATTAATCATTAGTCATTAATAATTATAATT